AAGCATTTTCATACCACAGCATTTTCATTCATAACTTCATAAAATTTTTCTATTTTGCAGCCCACGAACAAACCCCATACCTAGTGACAGACTGCATGAAAACAAGCAGAAGAAGTGGGATGAGACCTTCTCTTATTCTGTAGAAGAGAGAATAATTCCTTTTCGCTTGGATTATATCTCAGAGCACTGTTAAGTTTTTAAGACAGACTATTTAGAAAAACAAAACAAATTCTCAGATCCTTAGTTTCCTCTCCTACAGGCACAAAGGATTAGAGAAGTTCTTCATAAGGCTCGTGGCGACTTTTCATTTGTCATTTCTGCCAGTTCTCATGCATATTTCAAATGGTACAGTAAGACAGCTGCTACTAATGTACAATATCATAACGCTACTTTCAAGATAAACAACTCAGTTTTGCATGCAGATAATGACTGAGTCATCTGGCAGTTTCCTAAGCAGCAGTGGAAGTGTATAGCACAAACCTGTTTTAATTTATGTCATTTATCACAATGATTTTTCTCCGGATATCTGAAACTGTTAAAGACATTACAATTATAAATTAATTAGTATAATCATTGCAAGAGCACAGGAATATGACTGGTGCTAATAAATTAGACAGATGAGCAATCACCAACCATATGAAATTTCACAAGGGCAAGTGCTGAATTCTGCACCTGGGATGGGGCAAACCTGATTATTTGTACAGGCTGAGGAATGAGATGCTGGAAAGCAGTGCTGCAGAAGGGGACCTGGGGATCCTGGCTGATGACAAGTTGAATATGAGCCAGTTGTGCCCTGGTAGCTCGGAGGGCCAACCCTGTCCTCGGGGGAATCAGGCAAAATATTGCCAGCCAGTCGAGGGCGGGCATTGTCCAGCTCTGCTCTGCCCTGGGACAGCCTCATCTTGAATAGTGTGTGCAGTTTTGGGAAACACCATTTAAAAAAGACATTAAGCTCCTAGAGACTGTCCAAAGGAGGGCAACAAGGATGGTGAAGGGCCTGGAGGAGAAGCCTTACGAGGAGCGGCTGAGGGCACTTGGTCTGTTCAGCCTGGAGAAGAGGAGACTGAGGGGAGCCCTCACTGCAGTTGCAACTTTCTTGTGAGGGGAAGAATAGGGGCAGACACTGATCTCTTCTTCTTCTCTCTGGTGACCAGTGACAGGACTGGAGGCAATGGCATGAAGCTGAGGCTGGGAAGATTTAGGTTGGATGTTAGGAAAAGGTTCTTCCCCCAGAGGGTGGTTGGGCACTGGAACAGGATCCCCAGGGAAGTGGTCACAACACCAAGGCTGACAGAGTTCAGAAGTGTTTGGACAACATTCTCAGGTACATGCTGGGATTCTTGGGATGTCCCACACAGCGCCAGGAGTTGGACTCAATGATCCAAAAAGGTCCCTTCCAACTCAGCATATTCTATGATTCTATGGTAATAGTATGTAGGTGAGATGGACAACAAGTAGGTTGGACCCTGGAGATTCATGTGGTTGTTGCCACAGTAAAAATTTTAAGTATGCTCCACAGAGCTTCTTCCAAGAGACACGGTCCTTCCACTAAAAAAAACTATAAAAAACAGGAGATCAGCATCCTCTACCTAATCCCCCTCCCGAAATAATTCCTTTACTTTGATTTTGTCTATACAACTAGTCTTTATACTCCTTGCCTGATGGACAGGTTAGTTTCTGACTAACAGATTTCTATTATCAGCACTCAGTTTTGTGCACTGACTTGTAAGCACGCAGCTGATTCAACTTTTCCAAGCAAAAATCACCACTACATTTTAACCTGCACATACACCAAGCTTAAGTCATAGAAATAACTCAACCGGGTTAGTTTAATTAAAAAACAAACAGAATCAGAGCTAAAATAAACAAATGCAGATACTCTGTGATGAATCTCAGCCCACAAAGTTAAAATATTTGATTCTGAACACCATTTCCTACAAGAGATACACTAAGCACCTCTTAATCAGCTAAGCCCCAACCCAGTGGGGACAAAGCTAGGGCAGAGAACACAAAATGAAGTTAAATCTGTAAAATAGAATTAGTTTTTAGAATTAATTGTGAATTGTAAATTGAAAATGTTTTGCTTTAATGTGATCCCAAAAGGCATTACTCTGAGCTATCTGGGATATCATGTGGGTGGACCAGCTTTCTGGTATCAAACTCAAAAGCAAGAAGTACAGGAGACCCTGAAAAAGTGGAAGAGTCATCTTACCACTTTTAAAATTCATTTACATGCCAAGTATTCACCAAAGTCTGTGTAGTCAATATATTTAGCATAGAAAGCAAGAATTACCTCACTTTCTCTTTTTGTTCTGTATTTCACTTCTAACAAGAGCAATTGCTCTGACAATGCATAAAGCAAACAGGAGATTACACTGAATTCATTCTTTCTTTCTTCTATCCCTATTGAAGAACTGGCTACAGCACAGGGTTGGAAGGGACCTGAAACATCATCTAGTTCCAGCCATGCCATGGGCAAGGACACTTTCCAGGTTCCTCCAAGTCCCAGCCAGTCTGGCCTTGAACAATTCCAGGAACGGGGCATCCACAGCTTCTCTGGGCAACCTGTGCCAGTGCCTCACCTCACAGTAAGAATTTTTTTTTTAATATCCAATATAAACCTACTCTCTTTCAGTTTGAAGCCATTCCCTCTTGTCCTGTCATTCCATGCCCTTATGAAAAGCCTCTCTCCATCCTTCTAACACCCTTCAGGTACTGTAAGGCTGTAATTAGGTCACCCCATAGCCTTCTGTTCCCCAGGCTGAACAATTCCTATACGAGAGGTCCCTTCAACCATCTTGGTGGCCTCCTCTGGACCCGCTCCAACAGGTCATTGTCCTTCCTGTGCTGGGAACCCCAGAGCTGGACACAGCACTCCCAGTGGGGTCTCACCAGAGCAGAGCAGAGGGGTAGAAACACCTCCCTTGACCTGCTGGCCAGGCTGCTTTGGGTGCAGCCCAGGATACATAACACACAACATAAAAGGTAAGGCCTTTAGAGGAAACAATGATTGTTATATCCTGTCACACAAAGGGAAAAAATACAATGAAGAAAATGCTTTCTCCCCCATGCCCTTTTTCAGACCGATTACTTAACTTTTACGACAGGCAAGAAGATTACTACTTGACTGAAGGCAGACATTACCTCTAAGGGCTGACAGAGTTGGTTAAAAATAGAAATACAAATGGCAGTATATTGCTTTGTCAGTTCATAAGACACTAACTTTGTTTGCCTGCAATATCATGAACATATTATCACCAGAAAGAGTTCTGTCACATTATAATGAATAACATCAGACAGGAAGTTTAAATTGAAAACCCTAAGCAGACTTAGCTAATCTAAGAGATTAAACCTCAGGGAAGCTATGCTCATTTTTTTCCAGTGTCCAGGTACAGCCAGTCTTTCTCTTTCTCATTCTGCATGATTTTGAGGAAAGATACAGGAGGCTAAAAGTGAGAGGTAGAAAGAAGATAAGCAGACCCCACAAAGCAAATACAGAGCATGATCCCTGGCATCTCCTATCTTCTCTCCATACTTAAAATTACTACCTACAGATGTTATTTCATCCATGAAAGAAACCTGGAAGACAGTAGGCAAGAACAATTTCCTCATTCTTCATGGCAAATCTAAATTAATTCCCCTTGTTTATCCCAGCAGTCAGCAGAAGAAATGGAAAACCAGGGAGCTATTTTAAATATATGCCAAAATAAATATCACCTTTAGATGCTTATGGCTTTTCAACTCCAGGCTTATTTTCTAATATATAGATATATTTTTACTTGATGAAAAATAAAATGGAAGAGCATTCATATTAATTCTTCTGGCTCCTCTTATCTTTACCTGCCCACTATCACAGAAGATTGAGTAACCCCCACCATCAGCTTTCTAGTTTCCCCCTGCTATCTTTTCACACTACTCTTGGTCAGCAAGCAAGAAGTACAATGAAGGTCTACGACCAGAAATATAGTGGAATTGAGTTATTGTTTGCTTCTTTAATTTACCTATTCATATTACACTGCAGTAAAACTTTAGCAGCAACCATGACTGAGGATTAAAAATTCCTACATTCCTCCTTTTATTTCCCGCTCCTGGAAAAGAACCAACTTCTCTTAAACCACTGACCTGTGAAAGACAAAAACATATTCTTGTGTATTCTGCAGCTCTGTTTGTACAAAACTTGGGCTTTACGTCATGTAGGTTACTTTTCATTCATCCCTACCAATACTGTACCTTTTTAAAGTTTGATGCAGGCTCAGTTTCAAGGCCTCCAACATCAGAGAACCAATACAAGATCTGTACATTTCTGGCATGAAATCAATCAAGTAAATGATTTTACAGATAAAGGAACTCATTTTGTAATTATGAGATATCAACTACCCTCTATATGCTGGAACGACAGAGTGTAGTAGCTTGTTTTCCCAAAAGACATGATGCTGAGTATTACTGCCCCAATATTTAAGTTATTTTTACTTACACTTCTGTGCAAAAAAATCTTGATGTTAGTGTCCTGCATTTCACTTTCAGAACAACCAAATAAAAGTCTTTAAATATTCTGATAACTATCACAGAGAATCTAGAAATCCTAAGTTTAAACCATGGATTAAAAGGGAGATATTTTATGTTGTGCACAGCATTTGCATGGAGTGAGAACATTTTATTAAAAATAATTCTGACTGCAAATCTTGTCATTCCAAAACTACTCAAGAATTCAAGTTTCAAACTCACTAAACAGTTCTGGTTGGAGAAAAAAGTGAGGGGTAGAAAGGATCAATAGTGTGAAAAACATATCCCATCAGTCATAAGGAGGATTTAAGTTTTCAGAAAGGAACCCAGATGGGTAGCTCCTAAGGCATTTTGACTGACATGCTCCCATTTTGCATAATCTCTTCTTGCAGAATTATAAAAAGCCTGGTAGAAAGAAAGGCATACACCACTAGAAAATATAAGATGTTTGAAGAGATTCAGAAAGCAGATAAGCAGAAATCCAGCAAAATTTGTACCATTCAATCCACATGCTTGTTCACCTTCCATTGAGGTGGCCCGTCTTCTCCTCAAAGCATTTTGAAGGTTATTTGCCCCATATATAATATGGGGATGGGGTGTTCCCTCCTTCTGTGGATGCTTTTTAATAGGCTCAATGAAGTAATCCCCATGGGGCAGATGGAAATATCCAGTCTGAAAATAAGCACAAAAGAGTTAATCTCGACTGTCCAGTACTGGAAGTCAAAAATAAATACTCTTTTCATATCATCATCTCTGAGCTTTTCTCGTAAGCCAGTCATTACAACGAAGAAATATGAACACAATGGGTTTTCAGCATTTATTTGGCTGCATACATTGAGGTTGTTTCACACCTCACAAAGACGTAACAGTCCAAAGGGTAACAGAAAAAATATCTTTCTCCTAATAACCTGAAATCCTGAGGCAAAGGCTCTCATATTTTTACAAAGCCACAAAAAGGTCGAAAGTTAATTTGCCAAACATGATGCACTAGAAGGAGTTGCATCTTGTTCTTCTGGTGTTTTGCATTCATTCCCTGGAGAACAAGACTGGAATAGAAGCTGTTTCATCAGTGCAAATTGAAATTCTGCTCCTAGCTGCTATTCCACAGTCAATTACCCAACCCATCAGACGGGCTGGACTGTGTGGTTTACTCTTCACTCAGACTACAAACGCTTTCTGGCCCCAAGGCATGCAATAGAAGAAATAAACCGTCTTTCATGAATTAGCAAGTCATTAGGATCATACAATAGACCAACTGAAAAAGGCCGTAACATTTCTCATGCTATAACTTTCATATCAACCTCCCTGCTTTGCCTGAGTTAAAGGGCACTGGATCCCCATCTGGACTACACAGGATTAGCTTACGCTTCCACAGAATTAGTTTACACCGCTCTCTGCCATGATCTAGATCCATGTAAACAGACATGGTCTTGGTCCCTTGTGTCTCAGCATTTTTGCAGGGATTGTGAACGTTGCAAAACCATTGCATAGTCCTTTCACTTCAAGACATAAGGAACAGTAAAGCTCTAAATCAAAAGCAAAGGATCTACTGACATCCCAGCCAACACTTGGGATATGACAGGAGGCTGAGATATTCCACTGTTATGGTTTTTTCCCCCCTCCACTTTCTTGCTGTGGTCAGTGCAGCCTTCTTAACTTGTTCAGGAGCAGGAAAAAAATGCTGTAACCCTCTGTTCCTAAAGCTGCTGTATTCAAATTTACAAGGACACACAAACTAAAAACCCTTTTCAAACACTCCAAAGTCTTACAGTTTCTCTGGGCAGTTGTGAAAGCCAGTATGAGGGTAAGGATATGAAGGAAATCATATGAATGAAATGAAAGCATTCTTATAAAACTGTAAAATAACTATGTACAAGATGACCAAAGGCAGCTCAGTGAGATCACTTAAATCCCCTCTACCAGACACCTTCTGTCTCCACACTGATTGCCACAGGCCCAATACATCCCACTGCAAACCTGTGCAAATAAATAACTGTGAGTGTAATTTCACAGTTTGCCCAACAGTGCTGAGAAGTAGAAACTCTTTCTTTCCAATACAAGTCAAAGTTTTAAAGTCAGAGGCTGGCCTTTGTTTGAAAACTTGTTTACATCCATAAAGCTTCAAAGGTTCAGAACTCAAAGTCACATATATTTGTTCATCTGGGATTACAGCTTCTGCCTCTACGGCTTTTGTTTCATTTTTAAGAAAAAAGAAACAGGACTTCTGATTCTTAAACATGACATACAAAAAATGCTCAGGTTTCTGTTTAAATTATAAATCAGAATATAGGACCTGAGACACACTACAAAAGCAGTAAATCCCATGGTCACATTGGATAAAGATGTCAGGCAAACATGAACCTATACAGTGAGAAAGCCTATACAGCAGTCAGACTAAGAAATCAGGATATGTGGCTTTTCTCCTGACGCTCAAGAAATCAAAGCACCATCACAAATCTTTACCCATTCCTCTTCATTCCACAGGGTTCAGTCTTTCCTGGATGTTTGCAAAGACCCAATTATTTAAACGTCTTGCCCTGTTGTGTTTTTTAAGCCCGTTGGAACCAAGAAGAATTAACCATTCTCACTTGCAGACCCAGATTTTACAGAGCACGTGATTAGTCACTGGACTATCACGTCGAGGTACATTTGTAACAAGAAGGGCCAGGAAATCATATAAAAAGGGAAGTAAATATACTAGTGGTAAGTTCATTTCCCAAGCTCCCTCATCAGTGCTTCTTCCATGTTAAAACCAAGCTGTATGGAGCAGGAGAAAAAACCAAAAATTTGTTGCATAAATGTGACTGCAGTTCCAGCTTGTAGATGCTTTCCAACAGCTTCCAGAGACTTCCAGCACTTACTGAACTTGTGCTTTGCACTTGCACAGGCTATACAAGAAATTAAAGGCTGAGACCAAATGAAAGAAAAAAAAAAACACTGATCTTCACATTAAACTTACTTCAAAGCACTCAGAACTGGCAAAATTCCCTTTGCTGACTAAATATGTCTTCACCTTTGCTCTTTATAGTTGTTCTTTTCTTACTCATAAATACAACAGCAGTAATTTTTCATTTAAAGTCCATCAGATTTCAAGCTATGTAAATACAATATATGCTTTTTCTGAGCTGTTTGTAGCATCGCCTCCCTTTGAATGCATTTACACACTCAGAATATAAAAAGGAGTCCTGTTATGAAAGCCTCCTTGGAAATAAGCCAGTCATATTTACATTTATTATAGAGTTTAGTTATCATCACAGAAAAAAAATAACTGCAGACAAGTTTTCCACATTTGACCTTCTCTATGAAAAGCTACCGCGTAATACAGTAATAGAAATGGCCAGAAAATAGGAGTGGGGTGTGGGTGTGCATGTTTGTTTTGGGGTGAAGAGCGTGTGTGGGCAGCGTGTGGGTGTTTCCCTCAATGTCTATAGCTCAAAATCTAAAAGTCTACCACAGAATTTTTTTCTTAATTGTTGCTCTCCCTTCCTTCAAATCTCACCCTTCACCCTCAAATTCTGACATCCTGTGGCTGGAAGTGTTTACCATACTGTATGTGGAAGTGGTGCTACATTACCTAATGGGATTATTAATTCACGTGCTTAATTACTTTGACACAAACAGTTTCCTGAACACACCACATCTCCTGCATTGCACATTGCTTGCCAGGAGGACATGGTGATCCTGGGACACTCCTGAAAAAGTTTTCAAATAACTTTTTTGAATTTCAGTAGAATTAGCATTTTCCAGTGGAAAGTAGATATTTTTCACATATTTCTTTTGGTCAAAAGTTCGGGGAGTTATTCAAAATACATTTGCTGGCAGAATCTTTTCAATCAGTTCCACATGGGAAGTTGAAGCTGAGTCCTGTGGGAAGGGAAAGAGCAGCTTTAGCCTTGGCTACGGTTTTGCAATTGCAATGATATTCCAGACAGGAGGGGCTGGTATTAGTGGGTGTATGTCAGGAGAAAAAGGAAGGGAAAACCCAACAATTTGCAGTTTAAAGCTACAATAACTGAGTATGCTGACAATAATGCCAAAAAAATAACATCTGTAGTGGGAACAGTGTGTAGCTCACTGAAAGTAAACAGTATTCCTGGTAATATATTTCAGACAATTTTTCTGACAATGGGGCAGTGACAGACTCTGAAAACATATTAACTTTTAGAAGCAACATGAAATAAAAATAAGAAGAAAAGGTTCTGGTTTTGCCTTTAGGTACTTTGCTCCAGGTGCTTACTACAACTGTAATGCGTGGTAAGTGAAATTAAGTTTGACTAAAAGAATTACAGAAAAAATTGTGCCACAGGAAACATGAATTACCAGAGAACTGCAGCTGCAAATAATCTTAACTGAGCTCGTGAAATAAATTATCTGTTAACACTATACATGCTAAATTTATTTCAGCTAATCCTTTCTGTGTGTCACTTTTTTTCCCCCAAGGATCTTTGAGTTTGTCATATGTTCCTATCTCAGTAAAAACAAAACCTCAACATTGAAATGAGATTTTCACCTCCATCCTCAGAAAGAGCTAATAAAAATGGACCAGTCATGCTGTTGCTCATGCAGAAAGAGGTTGATTTTTTTTTTATGTACTGAGTAATTTGACAGAAGATTTTATGAACATCACCCACTGAAAAGGACAGCACTCTACCTCTTATATAGGAATACAGAAAAAAACTATGCTTTCGGCAGGATTTGGTAAAGAAGGTGCTACTGGAATTCAGCCTTATAGTTTAACATATCTTTGCACCAAAATTAAAATACCTTATTTTTAAGACAACAAGATGAGTACAGGATACAATCATACCACAAGATTTTATATTCTTTTGTCACAGATTGTAGATTTTAGAAGCTGCCAGAAATCTGGCCAGAGATGCAGAGACAGGCCCTGCACACTGTGGGCTCAGAAAGTTCAGACACAGAGGATAGGAAACAACATATCAATTCATAGCCTAATTTACAGCAGGTTGGATTTTCGTGGAAGAAAATAAGATATCAAGAGAGGAAGAAACGTCTGACAACCTCCAGTTCTCAGGCTCTTAAGGGACAGACATCAGTTCTGGATGCTTCAGAGGTGCAGGTCTTTCTGGCTGGGGACATAAGCTCAGCAAAGGAGAAAAGCCATGTCTCTAGGGTCATGTATATTAGCTACCATAGAACCACTTACAATACATAATCACTTAGCTGAGAGACTTGACAGAGAATCAGTTCTCTGGACGCATCAACTTGTTGGTGACCACACTAGACTTCATTCCTCTTTTCACTGTTCTTGAGCAGGACAGATTCATCCCTTTTCCCACAGTTTAGTGGAGATGGGGACTTGGATGAAGGTTATCTAGGATATGATTTAAGAAATTAAGGCATTAAAAAACTTTTCTAAAAATGGGTAAGAGAAGCAAACAGTTTAAATCCTGTCTTCATTTACTCCTCTGCTGTGCTACAGAAACAGTTCAGGAATAATTTCTATGGACCTCCAACTCACTGCGAGCTTTGCATCTCATACAGAATCTGAAGCAACCTGGTTACATTCATTTCTACTCAAGGAAATTATCTGTGGAATTAATCTTGCATGGAGATTTGAGCATGAAAATGTACAACTTGGAACACATAATTTTAGAAGACATCTCTGTTCACACTTCAGGTCACGTCATCCTCCACAATCATCCTTACTG